ATGCTAGCGAAAAAATTTTACATGGAAATTGTAGATCTCATCGGCCTCTACAAGAAAGGTTCTATGCAATTTTCCCGTATCTCTAACGGTTTAGGAGTAATTAAGGAAAAATAAAATTTTTTGCCAAAAGTTCGCCGTTTCGACGGTGGAATAGTCGGATTTTGTCAACATCAATAAAATGCCAAATAATCATACGTAACTCGTTAAATATCGAAATTAGAAGGAAAACAACTTTTATTTGAAGCATTTTTCGCAATTTTGAAAAAAAAAATTTTCGTCAGCGTCAATACTTAATTGGATATTTCCTTCTATACTTTTTAGCACGTAGCTATTTATTATTAGCATTATTCTTCAGACGTCTGATTTCTTTTTAATTAGAGGAAATGCGTTTTTCTAAGGTACATAAACTTTTGGGATTGACTGTATAGCCAATACATCCTTAAGATTTCCGAATATCACTACCATATCTTGTTCTCATGGCCATCTGAGCAAATCAGTATTTCATTAATTCAATATTTCCTATGAGACTTTTAAATCAAGAGAAACTTCTTTTCAGGGTTTTCAAACTTCTTTTAGTATAGCAATTTTCGTGCGTTACAAACTTACTGGTCCACCAAAGAGTTAATACTTGACTGGTAGCACTTGATTGTCCTAATTCGTAAGCCTTAATTTCGACGCAGGGATGAATGAACTTTGACGAAACACAATACGCGTGTATGTGAACGTACACGATTGTCGAACGACAATGATTCACCTCCGCCCAATTTGTTTGATCGTCGCACAATGACCTCCTGATTTGCTCATATGCGGGTACCGAGAATGATGTGCTCAAAAATCGTCGCGAAACGATCAATCTTACGTGGCTTCTATTAAATCTGATCCACCCTCGTTCTACTGACGAACATTTTAGAGAACGACGGGTCAGTGGTGTAGACACGTTTGAATATCAGTTTCTAAAGAGAGTACAATTCAATATAAATTCGTCCAAAAATTGTAATACATTTATGCTATGAGCGATATTTGTATCTTTTAGGTATTTTTCAGATATGTCAAAAATTCGACTGTTCCTCCCATCAGAGTGGTTGTGATGTGGTAATTACGACTCGTATCACAGCCAGCTTTGATGAGCGGAACGGTTCGATTTATATCTACGTTGACCGTTCATGACGTAGCTTAAAAATCAGATACTCATTAAAGCGAGCTTTGTAAATAGAAGATTATATAAATAAGTTAAAGCGAGTTAGAAATAATGTACAGGTAGCTCAAATGATTTCGGACCAGCCATGGACCTGAGGGGCATATCACTATGCCGGTAAAACGTGCTGAAATACGTAAGGAGGTGCAAACCATGGATGCATGCGTTTCCTTCTAGCAAGCTGCTGGTCAAATTTTAGTGCACCCTAAAGAAGAAAATAGATAGGTATACGCATACTCACATGATTGCAAACAATGAGCATGCACGAAGCATGATCATTTACTGCTTTCACATTAGTAACATCACCGAGTAGTACTCAAAATAAACCGCGGAATGGCACTAAAGTTTGACCAGCTGCCTCTTCCATTCTTACGTCTTACCGCATATCCTCCTTGCCTAAAACCCTGCCTCCTGCTAGGATCTTCAGGTTCATGTACCAAACGTGGTAGGTTTTAGATATACTTTAAAAAGCTGGTCTGAAATCGTTTCAGGTATCTGTACGTAGCGAACCACTCGAACAGGCTGCAATAATCAATTCTATTCTTTTCTTAAATGTTTGCATAAATAATTTGTATTAAATTATTGAAATCTACAAGAAATAAAGTTGATCATTCTGGTTTTCGAGTGGCTATAAAATAAGAATATTTAGTAGACGCGCGCTTGTGTATGAACGTCTCCACCTAATTTACTTTCAATTTCTTTTTATTACTCGTTATTTTGTCTTTGCTTTACTACTGAAAATATTCGTTTGGGATTTTTAAGAGGTATATCCTGTTGTTATGTCGATCCGCAGCTCATGAGCAAGATGGCCCCGCTAATTGGCAAAGAGCTGACAGAAAAGATTTTTCTGGACAGATACATTGCCTTCTGCGAAGACAAGAACTTCTACGTACGAAAGATCTGCGTTTCGCACTTCGGAGAGTTCTGTGCCGCCGTCGGGAGGAAGGCAGTTTTTCGAAAGCTGGTAAGTTCTTTTTACAAGCATCAGACTACACTTTTAGTAAAATTAAAATTATTTCACTAGTAAAATTAAAATTATTTCACTTATTAGTTATGCATATCCATGTAACAATTACTTTATTGTCATCTCCAAATTCAGTTGTCTTTGGCTCACTTTATGTATAATTATTGTAAATTGTTTAATATGTGATTAATGGTTTCTTTTCAACTTCTTCACGTTTTCTCATAGTTCCCGGTATTCGTCGATTTGTGCTGCGACGAAATATGGGGTATCCGAAAGGCCTGCGTGGACGTCATGATGCCAGTTGCATGCTGCATGACACTACAGCATCGCCGATTACTATTAGCGGAGCTTTTGGCCACGCATCTTAACGACTGCTCGAAATGGGTGCGAATGGCCGCCTTTCAAATTTTAGGACCATTTATATCTACGTTCGCGAAACAATTCACCGAAGTAACTTATAATCAGCAAGGCGAGCTAGTGTTTACCAGCCAACAGGATTCTCGTTTCAGGTACAAAAGTGTTCTCTCTCTCGAGATTCATTTCATTTTCGTACGTTAATCTTTACTTCCACGTCCGTTTCGCATTTTGATCGATTCGTACTCGTAGTACTTATAATTGGATTAATCCTCTTTACAGCGTAAGGTATTCGTACGAAGGAATATTTCCCACGAAATGCGCGATACGAAGTCATACGCTGGACGCGGAGGAACATAATTCTAAGGATAACTTCAATTCGTCTGTGATAATACCAAAACCAATCTTCGAGGAAGACGATGACGACGACGAATCCCAAGAAGATCATATCTCTACGATGAGAGCTTATAAATCGAAGGTACGACGCGTTCGTTATTGAGCACTATATTTTTCGTATGTTCGTATAAAATCTTTTAATCCAGTTTTACGTCACAAAATTTTATGACAGTATAAGAAAAGACACTTGCAAATACTTATGAGAGCTATTTCGTTTATTTTAGATACAAAGGCAGCATTTGAAGAACAACGATAAGAATAATCAAACGACGGACGACACAGAAATCTACAATCCATTCTTATATTACTACATAGCGCCAGAACTTCCACCGGACGACGAACTCGTCAAAGCTGCAAAAAGGTCCGCCGCCTTGAACGACGTGGACCGAAAACCGGTGACCAGCATTACCGCGTCCAGTAAGGCGTCGCTGTTAGACGAGGAGGCGTTCAAAATGCAGGACAAGTATCTGGCGGACGAATTTGAATTAATGAATTCGAGCAATCAAGAAATCGTACCGCAGCATTTAATCGACTCGTTCTTGTCGATGGCCGAACCGGACCAGTGTTCGGACACCGGCACTGACATTCCTCACCACTGCGCGTTTAGTTTTCCCGCGGTCGTGCTCACGCTCGGCAGAGAGAACTGGCCGTACTTGAAACAAGCCTATCAATCTTTGGCAAGCGCCAACCCGTGGAAAGTGCGGCGCACATTGGCCTCCAGTATCCACGAAATCGCTATTATCCTTGGGGAGGAACTCACTGCCACGGATCTCGTTCCAATCTATGATGGGTTTATCAAAGATCTGGACGAGGTCAGGATAGGTGTTCTCAAGCATTTAGCAACGTTTCTGAAAATACTCAAGCCTGCCGATCGACGCCAGTACCTACCAAGACTGAAGGAATTTCTAACTACTGACAACGAGTCTAATTGGAGGTTCCGCGAAGAACTGGCTACACAATTACTGGAAATCGTGAATCTGTTCGGTCCTGCGGACGTAGAACGACATATCGTGCCCTTATCATTAGAGTTACTGGGTGATAAAGTTGCCGCTGTGCGGCATGTTGCACTTTCTTTGGTACGATTTCCATCATTTTGTTACACAATGTCTCTCTTAACATACTGCGCTGCATTATATGCCCTTCTCTTTGAAAATATATACACGATAAAGAATCGTTGTTTAAAAGCATATAATTATTTCATATCTCAATCATTATTTTCAGGTAACTCAAATAGTAGCTCATCTATCCGACAACGAACGGCTCGTTACGGCGCTATTTCAAGAACTCAAATTCTCCCTTGGCGTGTACGCGAAGAAATGGATTAGACGGCAAACATTCGCTTTCGTTTGCGCCAAACTGATATCCAACAACGCTATCAGCGGTGATAGGTTCTCACAGGAAATGTTACCCAATTTATTGAAATTATCCTTGGACAAGGTGCCGAACGTGAGACTGGCTGTAGCGAGAACTTTGTCCAGGAACGTTGTTCCTATGGGACGTAAGTATTTATTTACTACGAAGGTTGTCCCGTGTAACACGTGCGAAATATTTTATAGATCGATGCAACATCTAAAAGCGCAAGGACAAAATTCCGTATGAGCGCTTAGTTTATTTAACCCAGTTTACAAGGTTTAACAAATTTCTTTGTGCATTTTCTAATCACTTTATTAATGAGATGTTTCTTCGTAGACAATTTTAAAAATTATTATTTTTCTCTGTTGAATCAATGCCTAAACTATTTGCCACGTGTTTCGCAATACTTTGCAACTGTTCCAAGAAAATGACATCATAGTTCGAAAGATGAAATATTCATGTAATATGTGTTTAAATCTTTAGCAGAATGGCTGGGAGTAGAACAGACAGAGGAAGTCGAGAGAAGGCTGAGGGAGATGAGATCGGACCCGGATAGAGACGTTCGAGTTCTAGCTGGTGGCGAGGAGAACCCTGTATTAGATATACTGTCCCAAACGAAAAGTGAACAGTCGAGGAACATAATGTTTTAACGAATTCAATCTATACGAGAATCAAGCTCTAATTACTTCCTGCCATACGAATCAATTTTATACCTTACTGCCAGGGGACAGCGGAAGGAAGGAAAAGGATACCGCGGGAGTGTTCTTCCATGTGTGAATTATATCTGTAAATTAATAAAGAAAATTAAATTGAACTGAGGAAGACAATTTTTCTATGCCGAGTATGGATGAACGAGGCGCAAGGATTTCTTCAAGGAATGATAATACCTATGATGTAAAAATAAACTCATACTTTACGGGGCAAATAATAAAAAATAAACGAAACGTGTAACATTTAGTGCAGCCAGGATAGAGGAAGTGCAACCTAGCGTTGTCGTTACAACCAAGGGACCGATGATATCCGCGCCCTTTTAGAATAAGACAGATTATAAGTATATCAATGGGTAAAAAGACATTACGCAATTGTTTAAGAGTGTGTGTGTGCGTGTTTAAAAAAGAAGTTCGAATCGTGTGCGTGCATGGTTTAGTACTCGCGAATATGTATGCGTTATACTATTGTGATCAATTTGTATTTGTAAGTGGTCCCTTGGGCCAACCGGATATTACTAACTGGAGATATCGCATCGACGAGATCTCTTCTTATCATGTCATAGCACGTTCTCTTTCGAACATGATGATAGTCTATCATTTTCTGTTAAGTATTACAACGGCGAGTTTTCGTCTTTTAATCGTTTTAACATATATTTTCGGAATCATTCTCACTTGCGAACAAAGTTTGTCTTTCATCGTATAATTTTATTCAAGTTTTTGTGCTACGATCCCGTGAATTTTGTGTATGTATTGTATCGTATGTACAAGTACATCGATCAAATGCAACGTGAGAACTTTGCGACTGACAAAAATAAGAAAAATGAAATAAAAAAGAAAGGGAAAGAAGGACTCGCATCGCTCGATTAAGATTTAACTGTGGATCGTGCGGTGTCACTGTGATTTTCGTCTACGCGCAACCACGCATGACGAATCTGTACCGTTTCATTGTAGTTCGTGAAAACGTGATTATTATTCGGCTACAGTTAAACTTCCTGTAAGCAACGAAAGATCGTTACTTGTGAATACGTATGAAGGAAAAACGAAGTTTTGTTTAAAATATTCTATATAATATATTGTGCATTTGGTAATGAGACGAAAAAAAATATACATCAAGCGATTTGTTACACAACAGTGTTGATGTTCAGTTTTTCAAAATTTACCAACCAATCATTCAATTACCGATTAAACTTGTATTTACTTTTACTTCTTTATTTAACAATAATACATCTCACTTTTTTCTACATAAAACATACTATATAAATCTTACATATATATTAATCTACAAAATTACATTACTGACACATTACCTGGATCTTTTTTCTTATCGGAGTATTGTTTTATTCAAACGCTTCCTGTTAGTAATAATAGCATGACTATTAAATAAATAAAAACTTTGAGGGTGAAGATGTGTATTATTAATATGAAGATCCGAGTACAGTGTTGTTTAAAGTTAATGTTCCTATTTTTTTCATACGTTTCTGTTAATATTTAATATAAAATAGAAATAGATTTTAATGAGCCGAATTTACTCGAAATTTCATATATGCCAGTATAACACTATCACCCTCTATAAGTACATAGGAGACCCTTAATACTTTTGTTATTAAAATATACCAAGAAATTTTGGCGGACAGGCTGGCAATTGACAAGCCTTCTCCTCCATTTCAGTTTCTGCTGTACTACAATCATGCAAACAATACCGCCATCTTATTTGACGACCCTTACCGCAAGTGACGCTACAGCTGCTCCAATCCGTCCATTTACCCCATTTCTTACCATTCTCCTTCTTCATTCTCGAACTACCCGACATTTTAACAACGCGTCTACTACCCAACGATCGTTTCTGATCTGCTAACATTTTATTTGAATCTTTAACAAGTCTGTACTCCCTACTTCCGACCGGATTTATTTTTCTTTCAACGACTTTCGCTGTAGGCTCGAAACCGTGGCTCGATGGCATGCATTTCTGAACGATCTTTGGCGATTCTCGGAAAGCATCGCAAGCACTAGTAACGTTTGAACACAAATCGTCGATCGCTCGAGCTTCGATCTTTTTATCTTTTTCGTCACCCGTAGCTTCTTCAATATTCAAGTAATTCTGAAGCTCGTTTACCTGAAGAAAGAATCGCTCTTACAATGAGCCACAAACAAATGACAGCACAAAATAAAAATGATAATGAAAGCTATTTCCTAGATATTGCCAACGTGCTGCATATATGTTACCTTTGAAACCAGATTTTTTGCAAGCTCCTTGACTTCTTCGATCGATCTGATCGCTCGTACAGGCTCGACGTTGTTACCTGCGGAAAGTTGATTTTCATCTTGATTGCTAAACTCGTCGATTTTGGACCCAGGCTCCCGGATACTCTCGTAATACCTCAATTCCTCCTCTTTATTTAAAAAGCCGTGATTTCCCAATGTGTATTTATTCCTCTTCGCGCGTAATTTTGTTTCTTCTGATGATTCTTCACCTTGTTTAACAGTGCCCTGCCTCTGACGTGTATTCGGACTTTCATCTGATCCGAGCTCATCGTCTGAATCATCATCATCGTCATTATTATCGCCAGCGTCGTCGCTTTCGCTTGCAGAGCGTTTTGAATTTTCAGTATTGATTTTATTTTTACTAATCAATTTTAAATTTGCATTCCGCTTCGAAGGATCATTTTCAAGCTCCGTATTTTTGGTCGATTTTTTTGATTTTACGGATCTACCACGAAAATTGTTGTCAATATTTTTCTTAGCCACTATACTAGCAATGTCTACTTCTGATTTACCGTCGCTCTTTGCATCAGTCGTTTTCCTTTCACGAGGCACTCTCGACGGATCGGTGTCTCTCAAACGAACGTCTCTTATCTGAAGATTACTCGCACTGTTGTGCTTCTTTCCCACGTGTTTCTTCTTTTTCTTCAACTTCGGCTTCTTCTCACGTCGGCTGTCTTTCGTTTTCCTTCTCATACGTAACAACTTTGCTTTCAAGTTAGCTACAGTTAAACTCGATGGATTGAAATTATGCTCAGAATTCTCTGTCTCCGCTTCTGATTCTTTCTCTTCCGTAGCTGATCTTTCGTCTCTCTCAATTTGAAAATCAGAAGTAGCTCTCTTCTTATTATGAATCTTTGCATAGTTATTTCGTTTCTTTCTAACTAATTCTACAGCTAGCATAGAATCTTCCGGTATATCTTGAACTTCCGTATCTTCGTAGGGTCGTCGTTTCATAACAGCAACATCATCTGTCGATGGTTCTTCTAATGATACATTATCCTGATATTTTTCCTTATTCGTAGATCTTCTATTTTTGTTCTCAATTGTATTCGATTTACTATCACCAACTAGCGCACTTTTGTCGGATTTATCTTCGTCGATGGATACAGAAGCCGTGAATGGATAAACGCTACGAATTTTTGGTTGATCCTTTGCCGAGAACGCGTTGAGCTGCTGATCATTTGTAAAGTATTCCTGTGATTTGATTTCACGTTTTGCATCGTACGATGCATCATCGTCGTAAGAGTTTTCGTCAACTAATTCGTAGCTATTCCGCGGGAAAGAATTAGCTAGGTCTTTCAAGTAATTTTGCTGATATACGGAAACAGGATCGAATAGTAATCTGTTCCGTTTTACTCGTATATGTGGCACCAAGGAATCAGAATTATCGATATTGTTCAAAAGATCGAGTCTATCATAATCTGACAACGTCTTTCTCTCTCCTGTTTCTCTTTTCACGTTACTAAAAATTGTGTCATCAAACAGTTTTCCCGTGGCTTGATTTCCATTATCGGGAACAGCGCACAATGTCCTTCGTTTCCATCTGTACTCAATACGATTCTTTTGATACTTGTTTCCTTTTACTGATTTCCTCGATCCATTATTAAATACTAAACGATCATTGACATAGTGATTGTTGGCAACCTTCAATGAATTTTGAGTTAACAATCTATCATAATTTCTTGTAATATTTTTAGATTTATTTTTTAATGATTTCTTTAGCTTCTTTATATCGTTAACTGTCTCTATCGAATTGATAGATTCGAATCTACTTATAACCGATATTGAATCGGATACGCACGTGCCATTCAATAAAACACTTACAATGTCTTGCAGAACGTTTGTAAAGTTTAGGAGGAAACAATTTGAGTTTCTTAACCACTCGCAATCTTGATCTCGATGATAATGATTGCATAATTAGACGGGGAGCAACCGATGTAGTTAATATTATATTTTTCGGTTATAGTAATAGGAACGACTAACAAAAAGATCGTAAAACTCCAAGCACGTATACAAATTGAAAATTTCAGCATTACACAAGATGTTCCAGTTTTTTAAGTTACGTTGCACATTAAGGAACCACTACGTTACTTTTTGCCAGGTTATTGTTCATAGGGACCTGATCAAAAATGATAATTATAGCTCCAGGTTTTCGGATACTTCAAATTTCTTTACCACTGCGATATATCCTTTTAAAATTAAATTTCGATGTATCGATATCTTCCTGGAACAGGGAGCGATTGCGCTTATCGCTACCGCGTGGAAATTTAAAATTACCTCACTTTCAGTCCTACAATTTTGTATAATTTAGTATATATAGCACACATAATATTTAATTTAAGGTAATACACAATATCAAAAGTAAAAGTACTGTAAAATTTATAATGTGATCGCTCATACGAGCGATAAACGACTTTTTCTTGAGATAGCTATTGTTCGCCTGCGATCAATGGCCAACATATGTAGCTATTCCGTTCCGTATATCATACAATCGAAGTGTGTTCGTGTTTGTTTACGTGCATAAAAGATTAGTATTTATTTAAAATATTAGAATATCCATTCTATGTATTTAACATAAAACTAGTGCAATGAACTATTCAATTTTAATACACATATTTTCACTTGCTTTAATGGTAAGAAAAAGTATCATAACTTAACCTACTTCATGTGAATTTACGTTCAGTTATTGTAGGATTATAATTGAAAAGTAACTACATAGCACTGTTATACCAAATTAAATTGCAAAACTAATTTTCTGTGTATAGGTGACTTTTGCATCAAGCGAGTTCTCAGCAGATGACTGTAAAAGTTTGGGTTTTAAAAAAGCCAATTTATTATGTTCTACCTGCGAGGAATTTAAAAAACGTGAATTAACAGAAATATGGTATGTGAACATGAATGTAAAATTGTAATCTAATATTTTTGTTACTAATAAAAAGAATAATTAATGAATACAGGAACAATTGCAAGGAATGTTGTTTAAAAGATGATTATGATGCCTCTGGAATGAAACGGTATCCACGTGCTATTCTTGAAGTGTGTACATGCAAATTTGGTGCATATCCACAAATTCAAGGTAAACATTTCTGTACTTCGTCCTAGTGATCTATAAGAAACATAATTTGTGATAACTGAACTCAATTTGTTTGCTACAGCGTTCATAAAAAGTGACCGACCCAGTAAATACAAAAATTTACAAATAAAGTACGTCAGAGGCTTAGATCCAATAATAAAATTGTTGGATGCAGACAATAAAGTTGAAGACATTCTGGACATACATAAATGGGATACTGATTCAGTTGATGAATTCTTAGCAACTCATCTTTCAACAGATTAACATTACGCAGCAATATATTTAAACTTTGTTAAATATAAGCAATGAGAATTAAATGAATTAAGGTGATAAAATGCTCGTATACTTTGTATTCCTTCCAGTTTATAATTAATTCGAGAATAGGAGAAAATTTACTACTATATTATTTTATTGAATGCATTGCAAAACAATTTTTGTTATCCTTTATGTCGTTTATTATTTTGTACTTCTACACATTAGTACAGAAAAATCCAGTATTAGAATGAAAAAATGTTCCAACAATTTACAAGTGCAATGTCACGTTTTATTACATTTAAACATTTTGGTGGACAATATATTTGATGGCTTTGCACAAAAAAATATGAAACTTCTATATCGATTTATTCTCGAGACATTCGATACTGTTAGAATCAACGTAATATGAATCTAAATTTTACTACAACTTGAATCGTTAACTGATTTAGTGATTATTATAATCACAAAATGACAAAGGATCATTTTGGAATATAGACTGTGGGTTTTATAACATATATATATCAAGGTAGCATACATACATCTTTTTATACTCCTGTTACAACGCCGTTTGACATATAAAAGAAATATAAGATTCTTCTACATAATGAAGAAAATAAAATCATTATCGAATTATATATTTATGATCATACACCACGATTTCAGGTTTTTCATTAGAATTAGGCATAAATTCGGTAAAATTCGTATCAGTATCATACCCGGTTTATTTCGAAGATACAATTAGTAGAGATCCTCTTACGATAGTTTCTTAAAATTGTTGCTTAAAAAAAAAGACATCTTTTAATTACTCGAAATAGTAATTTTTCTTAATGTAGAATAATCGCAACATGATGTCAATGCGTAAAAGCATACCCCATCATTAAGCATATATTTTTCTTCAAGAATCTATATACTACACAAGATTGCAATACATACATCAATGTTCTTATATAAGAACTTGAGTAAATTAATTTAAAATGCCTTTATACTCAGTTTTACAGCGCAAGTAGTACATGAATGATTGTACAGTGTTCTATCCACATAATATGGGTAACAATTAAGAAAGAGGGAGAACCTTTTATAGTTTATCAAAAAAATGATAGAAAACTAAATTGTTCAAACATTGACAAAAAATCAAATAGACTAACTTAATAAATCTTGATAATAGACAGCACTATTATTAAATGATGTAATAATTATAGAATACACTCAAGCTTACTTTGTCTGTGAAAGAGGAATAGCTTTACCGTCTGCCTCTTCGGGCCCGAGGGCTACCGCGCCCACGAGAGAAACCTCGACCGCGAGATGATTTTACTTGCAGACTCTGGTCCCTGTCTAATTTCTGTGCGGGTTTCTCTTGATCAACTTGTTCTTTTTCATCTCCGTCGTCAATTAAATTACCTATCTCTGCTTCGTTATCATTATCGATATCAGCCCACATCTTATCAACTGGCGTCTTCTTTTCCGGACTACTAGTAGCGTTCTGCGAAACCTGATCGTTGTTACCGTCCACTTCGCGTGTTTCTTCCTCAGATTCTGCGTCCGCTTCTAACGGATCATACTTTTCATCCCCGTCAGTTTTCTTCTGAGCGTTTGCATTGTCAAGATTATTTTCCTGCATGTTTTTCATTTCAACGTAACTGTCCTCCCCTGCGTCAGGATCCATTTTACAACGCTTCCAGTCTGCATCATAATCTGTGTCATTTTCTTGAGTACTTTCAATATGTTCAGATTTTATTGTCACTTTTTGTTCTGCAGTTTCCGTGGTCGAAGTTAAAGTCTTCACTTCTAGGACAAAATTCCGGTAATGTGTGATACTACGTAAATGAGCATTCATATCATCTTCTAGGAGCATAAACCTCCTACATTTCTCGCAGTAAAATCCTTGAACTTCTTTTACCATAGATTTTGCTGGAAAACGACAGTGAATCAGAGTTAAGTACAATAAAACACAATGGAAATAATATTTAGAAATAATCAGTATCTACCACTGTAATATATTCAAGTTCTCCTGTTGCTTCTTCTTCCTTTTCATTTTTATTATCTGGGCCAACATCTTTTTCCTCATCTTCACCAGTGCGTACTTCAGCTTCCCCTTTAGCAAGTTTTTCTACAAGAGAAAAAACGGGAGATAAACCACAAACCGTATTTTTGAATAGATTTTCGCGTACCTTTCTTTTTATTTTTTCGTTGTTCTTCACATTGTACAGCATTTTTCATGTGTCCAGGAGTTAAACAATGTTCGTCATATTCGATACGTGATGGAAATTCTTTCAAACAAGGAAAACACCTTGGATGTAAGAAAGTTTTTAGTTGTTGATGTTTCTCACTCTTTCTGTGCGTGGATAATGTTCCATAGAAATTCAAGTCACACATCGTGCAATACTCTCGTACATTAAGATCTACAGAGACCTATAACAGATGAAGATAATTACAAAAGGTTCCATAAAACTGTCGTAAGTATCATATTTATATATACACTCACTTTCTTTCCACGACGTTTGGAATTAGTCAAACTGAGTTCACGTTGTTCTTCGGCTACTCTTAATTCATGCCTCATCAAATCGACTTTTAGTTTATACGATTCATCCAACTTTTCCATCATCAACTGATGCGCTCTTCCGCGTAAATGATTTTCAAAAGACTGGAAAAAATAAAAATTTGTTAAAAGAGAGCTTCAATACAAAAGTTATATATAGTCAATGCAAAATACGTACGTATCCGTCCCACATGTGTTTGTTACAAATATGACAGAACATATGACTCATCGGAACTTCGGCGTAACGACTTTCAGCGTGTCTAGCTTCGGATTTTTTGCCCGTCATTTTCGAATCCTTCTCAGTGATAGATACATTCGCTTCCTTCGATCCTGTTTCATCCGTTACAACTTTGTCTGGATTTTCTGCATCCTGCTGGCACGTTTCTCCAGCTCTTTCACCCTCGGTCTCCATCGTGTCTTCCTTCCACTCAGATTTCTTATCTCCAGATTTCTCATTCTCTTCACTAACAGAGAAACAAAATACAATATTTATTTTTATTGTAGTTACGTAAAACTGTTGAAGTTTCATTATGTTTTTTTTATCTTCAATGTAATATAAATATTAGAATCCATTGATCTGTGTTTTAGTAAAACACAAGTGTACACATACTTTTTAATACCAATGACTAGAAAGAAATTGGGCATGATATTAAAGTTTAAAAAAAAAGTATAACTCACACTTTTAACGACCATACAGAAATGTAACCTGTTATGAATATAAATACATATTTTGGAAAACGTATACCGAGAGAAGAATACACAGGGGACTGCTATATGATCATGAGATGCTAGTGTTATGAAAGATTGTAGACAATCTAATTTAAATTTGAAATGTGAGTTGAGCTTAATCAACAATGAAGAGCATATATGTGTAACATCGTATGTAGGCATGTGCACATCTATATATATATGTATATTTATACATATACGAACGTATGTATGTACTTTGTATAAAAGTCGGACAAGAGAATAGGACACGATGCTAATAATTTAGCAATTAAAAAACCATTGTATGTAAGAAGCACCGTACATACAGAGATATAGGTGAAAGAAATGAGAACTTACTGAAGTTTGAAGAAACTATTCACAATCACCAGGAGCTTACCTTGTTATAGCAGGCGCTTCTGCTTTTTCATTATCAGAGGTCTTAACGTCCTGCTGTTCCTTTTTGGCAGTCTGATTTTGTTTAGAGGCAGGAATTGGTTTAGAAGATTTATCGTTGCGATGTTGATTTTGGTTTCCGTTCATACGTTGATTGCCAGACTGGGGTGCACGAGATTGTTGTGCAGATGGACCACGTCGCCCAGCAGGGCCATCACGGGCGCGATTGCCCATCTAGTCATGTAGGTCAAACGACCAAACCGTCATGAGAAGTATCTGGTATAATTGTGATTCTTCTCGAATCGAATTTCGGTTGATCTTGTCAACCACTGGGATCGTTTAAGGGAGAAAAATATTCTACTCGATTCGGAAGCAGGACGTATATTCGGAGTTCCAATGAACACCAAAGGTCAGTATTTCCACAGACGTGGAAGGGAAAGGAAAGTAGTAGTAGATAGTTGAAGATGCGTACAATCACCGCATCGTTTAACTTTGTGCAGGCAATGACCTCTTGGATCATAAGATATGATACACGTAAAGTACGTACACATTTTCCTTTGAACATGGTTCGATAAAGCTCAATGAAAAATAATCAACAAGAAGAAGAAGCTAAGTCGGTGAACAATGTAACTTGTAGTTTAATAGTTTTGAATACTGTTCTTCCATCAAATTTGACTACGACGATGAATAAAAGACTTGGATTCGTTGAAAACAAACCAAGTCAGTGGAGAAGCGTATCTGCATGTCTGTACTGAAATCTGTTGCACAAGATCAACGTTAACTTCCACTACTAAAACATGAGAAACACTATTTTGAAACCAATACACGTTGTTATTGTGTTTCTTAACGAAATAACATTCCGATGATAATTAATTATCCAATGAAATCATGCGTGGCAGTAAGTAGTCCAGCAGTGTGAATTGCTCATACTTGTAACTGCTAACAGTAGCCACTGATTAAAAACCTCATTAATGAATCAATCAATGAACATAAAAAAGAGAATTTCATGTTTTCAAACTATGAATCTGTGTCGCCGATGTAAAAAAGAAGAAGTGTGGACTAAAAATTGCCCTTACAATTTCTGTTTGAAACTGTCTGCACTCCATAGAAATGTATTGCTCATACCTTGTTATACGGCTGCGGTCGTTGATTCTTCATAGGATGCCTAACAGGACGATCGTTAAAACGACCTGAAGAGAAATTCTGTTGATTTGGAAAGTTTGGTCCTGGCCCAGAGAAATTATTACCAAGACTGAGAAGCGATGGTACTTGCTGCAAACACAATTATATATGAATTATGATACACGCTGGTGTAACAGAAAAATAATATTAATATATAAATCGAGTTCATTTACCTGTGGTTGTACTTCTTGCTGAGTACGAAGTAAATTCGTAAGAAGATTGCTGGCTATTGCTAGCTGTGCTTGCGGCGATGCTAGAGACAAATTATTGTTTGGTGTTGGTAAAATTCCTCTGCCAGGCATCATTCCACCTTCCCAAGGATTCATTCCACTACTTCCACTGCCACCGCCACCTCCGCCACCACCTCCCATACCACCTCCCATACCTCCTCCACTTCCTCCCATGTTTCCAACTCGTCCTCCACTGCCGCTACCTCCTCCGCCACCTCCTCCACGATTATTGAAGTTTCGATTCCCAAAGGAATCACGTTTTATTCCTCGATTGAAAGACATTGTACCTAAAACAATGGATACAATATTTGACAACGGCAGTAAATATCCTTATTTTATTATTACTACTACTTTTCTTTCATATATGCAAATCAAATTAGTTGTACACAGTTACAGAGACGAGAACTATTAAACATAGCACGAAGACTAAATATGACTATATTGTTAAATACCATACAACTTGTTTTACACAATCCACTTTAGTTTATAAATGGAATTCGAAAGGTCGTCTATTTCTGATATGAAAAGCTACTTTTTAATAATTTAAGGCCCTAATCCCAAGTAGAACGGTAGGATTTATTCATATTTAATACGTGGATCGTGTTTTAACCAAACCCAAATAGTACTATTATAATAAAATAAGTTTCCCGGAATTTCTTCTAACGGATGTTTTACATACCAAACGACGCCATGCAATGTGATTACATGTCTATTTGCTATATTTCCGCGGAAAAATGTTTATTATTGTACAAATATTCGCTGTTCCTAACTCAAATAATTCATATTATATTACAAATTTGTGATGATTGATTCATATTCTTACTTAAATAAGAAAATAGGCGAATACTTACTGGGAAAGTAGCAATTCCAACCGCAGCACAAGAAAAAGGAGGCAAAACGGAAAGCTCAAGGCTCAAGGAAATGGAGCAATGGAGTCACCAACCAAGCGTCTACCATATAAAATGCACTAGAGCAGTAAAAGCAACGTTTAAAATGGTCGCAACCTTAGAGCATATGCTCTAAGGTTGATGCCGTGCCGATGAAAATCCACCTAAGTCAGGGAATAATCAGAGCTCACTAAAGCGAGTGCTTAATGTTCCTTCATGCTCTTATTTATGATTTCAAATATAATTAATTAATATAAATTAATTCATTACAAGTTAAAACGTGTTAAAATTCTTTACTCTTTATAAAGAATATAATTTCAGTAGGTACATTTTTTTTTTACCAAAATTAAATTCATTTGCATGCCATGAAAATTTTGGTAAATTCTATGCCTCACTGTGCCTTCCTGGGGGGGCAAACCTAAGTGGGGCGAATTGAAGCAAAGTTTCTAGCGCCTCGTACCAATGGTTCACGAACTAAAGTGTATAAATGTGTGAACGATCCCATGTGTGCGTATATACATATATGCCATATATGCCCTTAACATGAGATCAACCAAGGAAAGAGCTGATACAATTCAAAGATTACTATTTCAAATAATGTAAGAAGAAATTTAGTGTTTTCCTACATCGTTTGAAATAATAATCTTCGAATTGTGTATCCGCTCGTTTCTTGGGTCATCTTCTGAAAAATATAAAGTTAATTATAAATTAATTAATTGGTAATTAACGTAATTGAATGCATGTTTGTGCAAAAATTTTTTTTATTATGAGCAACAATATATGATACATGAACGTACGTTCTATAAACATAGAAATATATATCAAAATACATTCAAACTCTATTATAATTCTATTGTTGACCCTCACGTTGAAATCCTGGTGTTCCTAGTCATCCCCGCAATGTGACTGGAGTCTTGATAACCCCAATCGTTCACACATGGTTGAAATCTGTAAAATATGAACAACAACATCACCTACATGATAGTATAATTTATTGAAAATTTCTCACAATATCGTGTACTTACCTAGAATGGTAAAGTGACGTTTTCTGTTCTCTTGCCTCATCTTACTTGCACAATACCTGCACAGGCTACACATGTGTTGTGATGTCACTAGCGCCTCCTACCATTGGTTAACTAACTAAGCATTACACCGACAGTAGCACGAATGTGGTAGTGCTCACGGACATATTTTAAAGATGTGGTTGTGATGTTTAGTTCGTGAACCATTGGTACGAGGCGCTAGAAACTTTGCTTCAACTCGCCCCACTTAGGTTTGCCCCCCCCAGTGCCTTCTTTCATCTTCTTCCTTCGGGCCTTCATGATTATCATGATTATTGCATCTGTAATTCAAAAGTGAGGCATTATTATTTTATTATTGTTTTTATAAATGAAATCTTTCATTATAAAACCAGATACATCATTTATGAGTAGCTAGTCATTTAATATACTCTTCTAAATAACGTTTAGAGTTATATAAACTTATAAAATTCATGCAGTATTTTCTCGAAAAAGCGTGGAAGTTGATAGTAGTATTAGCTGGTGTTTTATAAAAAAAAAAGTTGATTATAACAAATTACATATCGTTTTACGTTTAAAATTCTTTTAGGAATCGAGTTTTGCGTTTAATGATATATCGCAATGACAGCGCAGAGACGAGTTTCCTGTGGTCTTGACTTTTGTGCAACACCGGATTTAAACAATTGCCTCCTTTCAGCAAATACATCAAAGTAAACAAAAGATGATAATAAATTATGATAAACATTTAATTTGTATGAGTAACAAAAGAATTACTCTTATTTCAGATATGAATTTATATGTGCTCCACTCGTTCATCCACTATTTAAAAGAGAATTTGTTTCTGGGAAAGCAAAGGAACGTTCTGGTCCATTTACCAGACCAGACATAATTTTATGCAGTTCTGGTAAATAAATTAACGAATGAATAAATGTTGACAAATCTAATTTTATCACTTACTTTATAGATTGGAACACTCTAATTATTGGCAAATTGTCTCCACATATTAAAGTAGATTCAAAGAATCCTATTGTGAGAAAGAACAGTGAGGAGACTTTAAGACAAGAATTAAATTTGGCAAGCCATTTAGGTCTTATAGGCGTTACATTTAAATTAACGAAAGGAATAAGAGAAAATGTAAATCTTGCCAGAATTATCTGTGATACACTTTCAAAACCATGGACTTTACAGGTATATAACTGAAAGAAATTAAAGTCTATTCCCATTCCCAATTTACAACTTCTGTTCTGAGTATTATTTATCCATTTTCTTTTAAAATAGTTCCTTAATTGTTTTATAGGTTTGGGTCCAAGTACCTATGGAAAATCCAATGAAACAAGCATATTCATACAGGGAACAAGATTGTGGTGAAGTAGAAAGTCCATGGGAATGGTGGAATGCCTTTAGAATCATTTGTGACTACAACGGAAAATTAGGGGTTGCACTAGTTGTAAGCCATGATCTTCCTGACGATGAAGAGGTATCTAATAACTTATTATATTCTTTACTTTATTAGTGACTTGAAAATTAAAATTTATTATTTTTTTTATTGAAAGATTCACAGGTGGCTGGGAGAACCAGTTAGGTGTTTGATCTTTCCGACCACGTTATTTATCACAAATAAAAAAGGGTATCCTGTGCTGAGCAAGGCACACAAGGCATTAGTGAAGAAATTTCACATGCTAGGAGTACAGATCATACTTACAGGACAAAATCGATATCAAAGTATTACATTCTATCATAATTATTTAGAATACTTGTGGAAGGTAAAATTATACATCTGGTTCATCTTCTTAAACAACGGTACTTCAGTTATCTTTATTTGATTCTAATAACTTTGTACAGACTTGTGATGAAGATGGGCCAGTTGAAAGATACGCACGTGGTTTTGAAGATTTTCTTCAGTATCCTTTGCAACCACTCATGGACAATCTTGAATCTCAGACATATGAAACGTTCGAAAAGGATCCAATTAAATATACTCAATATCAAGACGCGATTTATCAAGCGATTCGTGCCATTGTAGATAGAACGTTAGGGAAAAGTAGAACAATGTACTTCATATAATATAAATACAAATGATCATCGCAGAGTTATTTATACACGTACATATAAAAATATTTATTTTCAGAATAATAATGGTAGTTGGAGCTGGGAGAGGACCACTTGTCAATGCATCTTTAAATGCAAGTGCGACAGCTAAACAGGACATCAAAGTATACGCCGTAGAAAAAAATCCTAATGCAGTATTAACGTAAGATAATGCAATTTTTATATAAATTTGAATGTGTGCTTTTTATTGACATATTTCTCTATTTTATAAATACAGCTTACAGGCACTTGAAAGAGATCTGTGGGAAAATAAAGTGACAGTGGTATCTTGTGATATGAGGGAATGGGATCCACCTGAGAAAGCTGATATCGTTGTATCGGAATTGCTTGGTTCTTTTGGCGACAATGAACTTTCTCCAGAATGTTTGGATGGAGTTCAACGATTTTTAAAAGGTATTAATGTCGTTTGGGAAGTACGGTGATCTTTGTATTTCTCTAATAATCTGTTTAACATTATTCTTTTAGACGATGGTATATGTATACCGACGTCATACACGTCGTATATCGCTCCTGTACAGTCGCCTAAGTTGTATAACGAAGTGAGACAATGCAGAGCAAAGGATAAACACCCTCTAGCTCATTTCCAGGCTCCATATGTAGTTCGTTTACAGAACAAGTACGATATAGCAAAACCGCAGAGCTTATTCACTTTCAAACATCCGAATAATGGTTGGTGAAGCAGTAACATTTACATATTTATCATTATATAATGAAAACTTTAAATATTATTCTATTTTCAGAAAATAATAGTGATAATTCAAGATATGAAACTAGGGTGTTCAAAGTACAACAGAACTCTGTCCTACATGGCTTCTCTGGCTATTTTGATACAGTCCTGTTCAATGATGTTACATTAAGCATAGAACCTAGCACACACAGTCCTGGGATGTTTAGCTGGTTTCCTATATTTTTCCCAATTAAGGTAGGATCGATTTATCTCATTACCTGTTTCCAAATTATGTACCACAATTTATTGTTGTAGCAACCAGTACAGTTAAAAGCTGGAGACCAAGTAGTCGTCCATTTCTGGCGTCGATGTAGCTCCAAAAATGTATGGTACGAATGGTGCATCAGTGAGCCTGTACCATTGTCCATTCATAATCCAGATGGACGTTCTTACACGATAGGTCTATAATTTACTTGTAATATCAGGTTTTTGCATCAAAGGAGACTTAATGATACAGCAACTTAATGATGAAAATTGTATGTTCTTTTTATGATACAAGATCTCAAATATACTATTAATTAAGTCAGCGCAATGTGATAAATGAACTTTTCATATAAAAATCCTGATAATTTATTGAATGTAAGTTACAAATTTAAATTTATATACAAACACATTAAATTACAACAATCAAAATGATATATTAAGATACGGAGATCGAATTTTCTTAGAATGGTAGCTTACGATTTTGTTTGTGAATTTCTCATTGAGTACAGAGGGTCACGAGTGTCGTGTAACGTTGATAACACAAACTAAAAATTATCTGTCGAGCGTGTTTTCAACCTTTTGACCTCACGTGATGCAGTGTCTTATCACATTACTCGTTTTCTTGAATAATCAAAACTCTACTTCCAAATTAAAAATAGATTTTTGGTGTGTTATTAGAACTGAATACAGAAACTTCTATTGCAATCAAACGTAAAACTAAAATTGAATTATGGAATTGGCTTGATAAAAATATATTATCAATTTTGCATCGATCTCTCGAATAAATGACTTAACACATTAAGAATTCATTATAAATTTTTTTAAATAGTGTAACGAATTAATTAAATAGCTTCTCGTTCTAAAATATTTATTATATAGATAATTTCTGCAAGTTGTACATACAAGACATAAAAACCGTTATACAGGAGAATAGGCAATAATCAAATTTCAATTGAAATGAGCTGTTTAATGATTCACATGTTATTGCATTTAATCCTTTATAGTTTTGAGTTATACGATGATGAAACATGTACTACGAGATAAGAATAGCTGATAATAAGAAAACATAAAGTCGTTTCTCTCACAGACATGTTTTAACCATTCCTTTGCCTCGCGCGTTCCGTTCATAACAAGAATCTCACCTCTGCAGCAGCACGACGGAAAATTTATGAACTTAACAAGCAGGAACGGCAAGGAAGGGTACGGATGTAATAAGGTTAAGCTCTTCGACTGTTTCGAAAACGGGGAAATATAACTAAATATGGCAAAAGTAATCGCGCAAATGGTAAAGTACACCGCAAGGACGTTCCCTCATGTCTCAAGAGAAACGGTATTTACACGTTTTCCACCAAAAGCATCATTAGTCGTTTCACGTTCCATCACTACCACTCGATGCTTGAACGCCGGTAAGTTTAAACCATTCCTTAAATCTTCAGAAATTACCTTAGCGAGTATTCATTATAACTTACTTTGTAACACAAAAGACGTAAAAAAATTGAGTCGCAATTTAGTGTCACTGTCGTTAAAGAATCTTTGTTCGATCTGTGAAGTTTATCAGTTGATTTATTTCATTTAATATCTTTTTGATTTTTTTTTTAAATTATTTGATTTTCAGTCAGACTGTATACAGAAAAACATGAATGGATAACAATTGATGGTAAAGTGGGCATAGTTGGAATATCTAATTATGCGCAAGAAGCATTAGGCGACGTTGTTTACGCACAACTTCCAGACGTAGGAGCTACAATTGAAAAAGAAGGTCAGGATGTTCATTTCAGATACTGCTTATACAGGATTTACATTTTATGATTAATACTAACTTGCTCCTTTTACAGCCGAATGTGGAGCATTAGAATCAGTGAAAGCTGCTTCTGAACTGTTTAGTCCTGTTAGTGGGAAGGTAATAGAAAAGAATGAAGACGTTGAGAAAACACCTGGCTTAGTCAACTCTTCCTGTTACGAAAAAGGATGGTTGTTTAAGGTAGAGATAAATAATCCTGAGGAACTAAAAAATCTAATGAGTGAAGAGACATATAATGAATATTTAAAATCTGATAAATCATAAATATATTGAGTTTACAATATGTAAATAATTTAGTAACGATATAATTTTTATTGTTTTTCTTAATTAGCCATCGTCAGTGGAGAAACTATCAAAATTGTTCTTATTTATTGTAAATTATACAGCAAAAACTATGCACATAAAGATGTTAGTATTTGATATTACATTATATCAATCAAAATATAAAACAAATTAGTTTTCAGTTGATTTTTTAAACATGAAGTAAACATATTTCGAACAGAACGAATTCGTGATTGGTTTGATTACAATAAGGAGTTAGTACTTTTACAAATATAACTAAAAGTGATTTGCTTTTAAATCAGAAGGAGGCACATTTCTATATGTGAGATTAGTCTGTGTGTTCAATGAAACGAATGCAATGTATATTCGAAAAATCGTAAATTAAGAATATCAAGCTAAGTGCAGTAGTTAGCTGACATCTTTATTAACCACTGTGCATTTTTTTTAAATCTTTTTACCATATTTGTACAAAGCAAACAAATGTTTTAATATACATGTTATTTATATATACGAATGACACAGTTGTTACAAATCATAATAAAACCTTCTGTTGTACATAAACGCATTTAAATTATGTAGTAAATTGTACATATTGTGAAAAGATTGAAGGATCTGAAATAGTATTTGCAAGTTTCTGAAAATTGTCTGCTTAATAATTTATATAGTACCATCCTTTACCCTCCTTTTTCGGAAATTTATTGTTATTCGTTTATCTCTTACGGTCATTGTAAATATTTTTTTACAATTATACCAAAGACAGGGGTGCAACAAGGGAAACGTTATCGTTTAGTAGGAGTTCAATCAGTACAATACATATAAAAAATAGCGCCGTCAATCCTAAAAAGGAACAGTTACGTATCAGTTAATAATAAAGATATATTTACAATCAATCATTTTTTCTACATAATTTACAATTGCCAACTCCTAATGGCAGTGTTAACAACGCATAATAGTTCATATTTAATGTCATAATTCCAATAGTTTATTGGATCAAAAAATCACATCGATATTAAATTAGATCGTTTGCCAATTATAATTGGTAACTGTACATATTTAACACAATGCTTATAACACCACTATTATCATATCTCCTAATTACATTTATTAATAAACATTTTATAACAGAATCGAGCGGACGATTAAATAGGATGGACACATAACAAAGATCGTTAATTCAGGGACATTATTCAGAAGAGACAATTTTCGTTCTTTTACTGGGGATACTATGTTTGCCATTTTTTGTAAATTGTTCCAAAATTATCAGACCGACACGTTCTACAGCGAGAAGTCTTGAAGATAAATGAAAGTACAATAAATAAAGTATTACTTGTGATCGTACCCAAACAGCAACGTTAGAGGTTTCATTGATACTCGTTAAATTTCGACTCGAAATTTGTGGCATATGTTACATCGAAATACAATCTAATTTGGAATAAACGTAATAACGACTAAGATAGTTAACACGGAAAAATACAGTACTTGGATGGAACTTTTTTTATATTGTTACACATTTTATTACAGATGACCGCGGACTCGTTCGAGTCTGCGTAGGTAACATTCATACATATTTCCACTTAATTTGCTATCTGGGTGTCTATTCTGAGGTATGTGGTTTACTAAAAATGTAAAAATGTAAGACTTAATACGTTTACGAAGAGGTAGACATTCATATGCGAGTTAAATAAAAGTAATTTAACATTTTGAATGTACGTAATTGATTAGAGTGCTAATAACGATGCAATGTTTTCCGTTCGTTCGATTAAAAGAACCAGGCGATTTGAAAATTTGGGAACATGTCAATGTATTACACATACGTAAATACTTTTTTATAACACGTGCATAAAAAAGACCATTTTTGCTCCACTTTATTTCTGACGCTCAGGAAACTCTAAAATGAGTATTTTCGCCATGCTTGCATACATATACATATGTATATGGCATACACTTAAATGGACGATTCGAAAAACTCTATTCTCGCTCTACTTTGTAGACGACAAAAAATGGTCTTCTTTGTGCATTTTTTATAAATAATATGGTGAACAACGCAGCTCGTGTTCTTCTCGGGCGCCTACGGCCCTCGACTGCCACTCGTGCTCAAACATCAACCTCGCTTGGAATAGTATATTGTGTATCAAGGGTCGAAAATGGGTCTTTCCGGACGACGTTGATATTTGAGCACGAGATGCTCAAATCATCATCCGAGTCTGGAAAGGTCCATTCGGCCCGTGTCGCACACCGTATGTTTTATAAAAAGGGCATACAGAAGACCATTTTTCGTCGTCTACAAAGCGGATCAAGAATATAGTTTGTCGAGTTCTCCACTTCATACGAACTTCATGGGAGTGCGAATATTTAAAAACAAATTAGAATCACTGATTCCAACAATTTCTAAGAAAAACAAATTACAAATTTATAATTACAAATTTGTTTTTCTATATAGGGCAGGAAAACTCTACTTTCGGTCCACTTTATAGGCGCCGAAAATGGTCTTTTTTAGCCACGTGTTATAAAAAAGCCCATTTTCGCCCCTTGTTGTACAATGTACTATTCTTTTACATTTTGAAGATTTAAAGAAATTTCGTGGACACAAATCTTTACTCACACGATAAGTACATGCAAATTCTCTCTTTTCATGGTAGTAATACTCGCAGCTACTCCTCCTGGTTTGATTCAATACTCGACTCTTAATCTAACGTGGCATCGAGTTTTCCCTTTTGTTCCGTAATACATACGTCAACAAATCGTTTAAATCTATATATTTAATATTCTTATATCGAAGTCGGTGGAAAAGTGAAAGTAGTAAAATAGCATTTTTCCCAGGTACTTCATTGATAGAGGATGTATAAACAGTAGGAGTTGCAAAGGGTGGTACTACCAGCCTACCAGTACGAGCAAAGATTTCTGTTCCTTTTGCCACGCTTTTGAGCCTCGAGAATCTAGCACGTGTAATTTTACCGATGGCTTAGATACCACAGGCGTCGAAAAGACAACCTTCACAGCACTGAAAAGTTTTCTGACTATTGACTAAAACAATAATAATCTATTAGTGAAAAATTACTACGATTCGATCGCTATCTTAACATTCAGTAAATATTTATCTATTTAACAACTGCGATAAGACAATATTGATCTTACTTATTCTTACGTATTAATCGCTAGATAATATAGGACCACATAAACCTTGCTCTAATGATTCTTTTTATTTCTTAAACAGAATCTTTATTTTTATGATACAATATACAATAATAAAATATCGCAATTTGTGGTTATTCTTTTTTTCCGCCACCTATTTGAAAAAAGAAATAATAAAAAGAGAAATACATGAATAAAACTTCTAAAATTAGTGAAGACATTAAGTAATGCTGGTCACATTAAGAGATAAGCTAATGATTTTTCTTTCGGTATAAGCAACAGAAATATATTTTATTTCATTAAACTATACACAAATCATTATAATTACATATTTAACATGTTTCATGCTTTACAACGTAATTGGAATGTGTTAACTAGTATTTACAATAATAGTAGCCCTGCTGTGTGCAAGTGTGACAAAATGCAGATTTGTTTTCTCATAGGAAGTTCTAAGGATGCCCAGGTGGCCGTGCGACATATATATATGTATGTATAGTATAAGTATATCACATGAAACTTTTTTTGCTGTCGTTCAAGTATGCCCATTGAATCCCTTGCAGAAGCACGATTGACTGAGGAGCGAACGATTTCATTCGTTCGCTCGTTACTATTAAGATTATCGTTTGTTTTGTTAAAATGAGAGCAAGGCTTCAGTGGTATGTACGCTTAAAAATAATCGCTTCTAGTATTAGAAAAATAGCTTTATTTATTTAGATAAAAGTTGCCTGCCCTTTGACCAATATTTTGTTTAACCACCCTTTGTACTGTTTTCAAGGCATCTTGCTTACTGTTTCCCTGCGCTTCTTACCCACCGATACGGGGTAAATTTAATTCTCCATGGATACATCTCTAAAACTTCAACATCAAATATAGAAAATATATGTCATTATGTTTATATATATTTAGATACATTTTATAATACATATATTATGTATATATGTAAAGTATGTACGTCTATACTTGATTTGTTTTTTGCGTTAGGTATTTACTGAACCAGGGCCCCTTGACTTGGTCCATATACCTAAGCAACGTTAGCTCTTAATAGGTACTTGAGGTCCACTCTGAAAATAAGGGGCATTATCTTTATTTTTGAGATACAGCAACGGACTAACTTATGGCAAAAGTGCCAAACGAATCTATCGTTTCATTTTCTCTTCGCGTGAAGCATCTCCATAAGAAGGGTTTGAGTCGGTGCTCCACCACTACAATGCTTCTGGTAAAGATGATCTTCTCCCCTGCTCGCTACCACGTGGATTTCTGGTAATACTGCTAACAGCTTGTTAAACTTATCCTGTTCATATAAGAATTTCATATTTAAGCTGCAGAAAAACTAGTGGAATTTAATTGTGACTGTTATCGTACACAGTGGCTAGTAGACGTATAAATAGGAAAAATCGATATACATATAGAGTTCATGTTAAAAATATAAATAATAGAACTCTTCTATGTTACGTCACTTAACCCTTTCACTACGAAAGGCATAAATGTACGTCCTGAAAAGTCCATCGATATATACGAAGGGCGTAAATATACATCCTGAAAAGTCCATCGATATATACGAAAGGCGTAAATATACGTCCTGAAAAGTCCATCGACATATACGAAAGGCGTAAATATACGTCCTGAAAAGTCCATCGATATATACGAAAGGCGTAAATATACGTTCTTAGAAGCCTATCGATATATACAAAAGATTTAAATATACGCCATCGCAGCGTCCGACGTGCGTATAACGCGCCGTCCATATTGATGGATTATTCCGAAATCGCGCCGCAGTGAAAGGATTAACAGAAATCTGTCAGAGCAGATTCTTTTGTATTTCGAAAACTCCTATTTATGCGTACTATCCCAAAATAATTATCAAGTCAACTTACCGGTATAGAAGGATAACATGTCAAGGTGTAATCCAAAAGGGCTTGTTGGACTTGCTCATGACCTTCTTGTACGTGTTTTTTGTTAACCAATCCACGAACATCTACTTGTTTCAATAAAAATCCATCAAAATCAATCTCAAATGTACTACGATAGTAAATAAGACTTTATGCACGTGTACAAGCGCATAGTAAGAAAAGAACGTACCATGATTGAGCAGCATCAGAAATTTCATGCATATATAATCCGAAAGATCGAATTTGAGCTCTTGAAGTTTAGTCGACAAATCGTTGAAAAGGTCTGCTAAGGAAGGAACTCCAAGTAGGCCGAGGCAAAGGAGATCAAACTTTTGGCCATTATGAAGTATAGTCTCGTCGGGTAGATTATTATGTAACCTCTGATGAAGATGGTCAAGCACCAACATATCCGACCAGGAGTGCTGTAGCAACTTCATTTGGTCATCAACCTGTTAAAAAAATTAGTACTGGTTGTTGACGAAATTGGGGATTCTCAAGTACCTATGTTGACTGAACACCAAGTTTCGTCGAATAGAAATTTGAAATTCTAATTTCTTGTATTCGTGCCCTATACACGTTATATTGTTTGTAAAACATGAAGACATAGTGCTGGATGTCTGTAAAATTATGACAACTTTTTGCCGATTTATGGAAAAAAACAGAAATAATAAAAAAAAGCAATATAATCGGTTAAGTGGTCAGTTTATAATTAACATGGACCTGCTTTAGGGCAACCGCTATAACCCAGAAACGTATCTTGTTATGACCTAGATATGAGGCGATGCTTGAAATCATTCAGTGATTGTGCAATGCCGTTGGTTACCTCACATCCCCGCTCATACCACCAACAGGCCGGCGAAGAGTTATTTATCGGTAAGAACTAACTTCTCTTGAAAAAGATTCTCGAGTAACAGTTAAAACTGTTAAACTTTTACGACTCGATAATGCATACTAGTCTACGGCATCGCTCCTACCTGTCCTAATGCGTCCACAGAAAAAAAAGTTGTTACCTAAGATTGTGAAACGAAATTTCGTTTCACAGTCCAGTGGTAACTTATGAATGCAAACCAACGAGAATCTGTTTTACAAAACAATAATTAATCAGTGTACACAGTGATAATGTAAGTATTCTGCTTGCACATTTGATGGCGTCCAAATACTATCATTCTACTATATTTTATTCTATGTATGAAATACGTTCGAATACGATAAATCGAATTTTTGTAGCTTTCAAATTCTTTTCAGTAAATTTTTTTAGAAATCTATAAGATCTTCGATTTGAACATTACATTTTTTATCACATATACTTCGTTCTCTCTTCGTTCACTCTTTTAAAGTCTCACTAGATTTGTAATAAAATTGCTGACCTTGAGATCCTTGAAGAACACCGAATTCCTTGCCCAGTCCACCTGTGAGAACAGATTTTGATCGAGCACTTTGCACATTAATTCGAACAAGTCCACTTCACACTGATTGTACGTTTGATTTTGCAACAGTCCGAAAAGTGATGTCTGCCACTCGCGATCGTCGACCGTTTGCACGAACTCCCGTATCATCGGACTAGTTTTCAATGTGGCGCTTGAGGGTACGGAACCGTGAGGCTGCGTGGACTGTTCGCCGAAGTTGAAGGCCTTCGGGCTCGGGGTGGTGGAGTTGGCAGCCCACAGCTTGCTATCCAGGCCAGGGTTGAGGTTGTGCAGGTGATTACCGCCAGAAATGTTTGGCTGGGAGGACGGTGCGATCATTTGATGCTGACCGGCCCCGCTACCCGCCTGTGTCGTGACCAGACCAGCGGCCACGGCTGCGGGGGATGGACTCGAATCTGGGGAAGATGTTAGACTCGAGACCTGAGGTATTTGTATCTCCTGTTTAATATGCAGGAAAGGCGTTACGGCGGAGGGATAGTTCGACGGATCACCGAGGCTGCCGCGTATCGTTTGCAGTGCCAGCTGCCGTTGTCTTAACATTTGTAGCTTCCGCGCTCGGTCTCTTTTGTACATAGGTCCGAATTTATTCCTACCACCTCTCATCCGGTCCGCTCGCACGGCTATAACAGAAACAACAAGTAAAGAATGGTGAAACGACGGTCTTGCTCATTCTGATCAGGGCACAGTATCTGAAAAACCAGTTTTATAATTACATACTTTGTTTATCTGCGAATGTATTGTGGAATTTACTTTAATAAAAATACATAGATTTATTTGACGATATTTAAAATTGATTTTTAAATGAACGTTTCACGCAATGAATAATAGGCGTGAATTTGTTGCTGAAATCATACACTCAATCGATTCAAGAAAACCTGATTTCCTTGCTATACGAAGAGTTTCAGTCTTCTTGTCTTGATTCCTTCATTTACGCTCTTTTTTCAAATATTAAAAATACCCCTCCATTTTGGCCTTACAAGAATTGTTTCGATTAATTTTTTAATTCAAACAGCCTGCCATTTAAAAACGATTTTTAATGGAATCAAGAATTTATTGTATTATTAAAAGCCTACCCAATTTGATTGTTAAATAAAATCATCATCAGCGTTTAAATACCGTTATTCAGGGAAGATGGAAATTACAGTTAATCGTAGTCGAATGAGACGAAACGTTAACCATTAACGACATGCTACTATTCCTGTACCTACTGCGACTCTTGAACAAACCTACTCGTTCTGTGCAAACGATCATGCGTAATGTGTGAAGCATGGATCTCCACCTACGAAACCTGCAGGTGTTATTCGGCACGTTAAATGTACCTATCGCTGTTAAGAGCGAACATTGTGCCAGCATGCATTTCATATTGCTTTCAATTAATCAATTAGATTAGTTAATTAAATTGTTAAGAAGAAATAAACTTGCAACGTATCAACAAATATCATACAAATAATTGTCTGTACGTATCAGTTGTAGGCAATGATCAGAAACTACCAAAATTCCTGTCATGCGTAGACTTCCAAATACTTATTAGAGGCACACAAAGCGGATCTTTGTGGCGACCTAGTTAGATATTTACGCGCGAAACTAAGTATTACTGCATCTCCAAGTTAAGATCCGCATTATAAACAACAGCTCTCCAGATGTGTGGTCTCGGGCCCGGAAGTGGCCTAACAGAGGAACACGATATGGATCCCTCACGCAACAGTTAGGGATTAAAATATGTCGTCGCGAGACATGCGGAGGGATTAGAGGCGAAGGTAGTCTCTCCGTCCATCAATGGCTGTGCTGAGAAACGAACAACTCCGTTCCAAACGTTTCAGCATCTCAATATCTTTTCCATGAATCCACAGAAAACGAATAAAAGGAGGAATGAAAAAATTAAAAGTCTCAAGCCATAAAAGGTGCTCGTTCATCGATGCGCATCGCAACGGAGTGTTCGCCGTGATGTGGCAACGTTTCCTGAGAACGGGTCACGTGCTCGATTACGATTCTCGGTTGATGATCAGGGTCGCGTTTCGATCGAGGGTGGATTTCGAGCGGTTTCAATGATCTGGACAGGGTGGGCACGCCGCTAAATCAGCGATGTTGCCTATTTTCGTACATATACCGCGAACTGTTTGCTATCCGTCGTCGCATGAAATGCCGGCGAGCACGAACGAGCGAACGCGGTGCACGCTCGTTGAAAGTGAAAGGAGGTTGAATCGGTTGCCCGTCCACTTCTGCCTCTGAGCCGGCCCGCCGAGGAAGGAGGGCCACCCCTCTGCCCCTTCCCCAGACACGAACACATGCATACCGTCAACTATGTCGAATACCGCCCGACACCCCGCCGCCACCTAACTCTACTTATTTCCCTTCCTTCGGACCCCTACGCTCTCTGCACCTCGCCTCCCGGGCCCAGATCCACATTGCCGCCTCCGCCACCCTGTGCGCGCGAGCTCGCTTACGCCTCCTCTCTTTTTCTCTCCTTCTTCGCGTTTCTTGTTCTCAATGATTCCCTTTGCCGCCTCCTTTTTCGCTAGCACCGCATCGTGCCCCAGGTTTCTTTATCTTTCCTCCTCCCGCTCTCGAAACCTTTACGCCTTTCATCTCTCGATTCCCTTTTGCCTTTTTCGATTGTACCCCTCTGTTCCAATACATTGATCTTTCCCGACGCACCTCGTCGCCTATGAACTCTGCATAATGCGGTTACGCACTGTCCTTTTTAACATCTCCAATCTCCCCGCACTTTGAGATTTAGTTCATGCTCATTTTTTTATATACTTCAAAAATATCTTTTCCATTTCGTTATTGGAATGTACCGATCACTTACAATTGATCTTCCAAAAAATACTGAGTTAATAAATTATTCGCTATGAAAAATCTGAGCAATGCACATTAACTGTAACATGATTACAAATCCATATCTCTTATACTTGTGACTTAGTAGGAATTAGTGGATACAGATCGCTGCTTAAACTTGAAATTCGGCATGTTCGGTTTTTCGAACTTTTCTGAAATCACAAATATGTACTGCTATGCAAAACGATCGTCATCCATCATGCAAGGATTACGCGAACGTGCCCGCAGTCTTGCGCGCACGCCTTCTCGCCGGACTCTGCTACTCCATCCGCGACGACCCGGTCTCCTTTTTCTCTCTTTCACATACATACGTGACCGACTCGATGGGAATTCAGACAATGGCCCGGAGTGCAAGACCAATAACGAAAGTTGCTAAACTTGACTTTCAGGTTGTTGCTTTCGGCCACTTGTTCTCGATCGCTCGATTTAATGGTACGCAACACCGCTATCACGCGTAGTACATACACTCGCCATGTTATTTAACATGCGTGAAGCTATGTACTTTATGTATTTTTCCTTGTTCCCATCCTCTGTTTTTCACGTATCCTTATTTTAGCGTTTATGCCACTCTCCGGATTGGCCAAGAAATAAATAATAGATAAATGCCTTTGTTCTCTCATAAATTATTATCATCATTTTTAGCTTACAAGTATTCATCTATTTCGTTCTTCTAACTTTATTCATCCTTTTTGTCTCATCTTGTGTTTCACTTTCTTATTTTTAATTGTATTAAAATTCAATTACATTCTTTTTTATGTATTTCTTCTCATTCTCTTTTGCTCGTATGCACATCGTATGGTAAATGACTTGCGACGATTTAAATATCCAAAACTGGACATAGACTGCAACTTTCGACTTTCGATTCAGTAAAATGTCATTTTATTGTCATCCGACATTTATAAGCATTTCTCGCAGTCTTTCTTCTTTGACGTAGTTTCGTCGTAGGTATTATAAACTACTAGGCGTGCATCTTTCCGCCTCTAATTTAAGGTGCATCGGATGCTTGGAAATAGTGATGTCAATACCTCTAGCTAAGGTGAGACCTACGCGTTTCAAGTGATGAATGGGACGATGGATTTACCTTAAAACTCGTTCCCTTGATTGTGTCGTAGTCCCGGAGGGTTACAGAAAATATGCTACTTTCTGATTAAAAATATCTTTATTCGTACACTCAAAGAATTCGACTGCTCTCAGTGGTGTCTCGTAGGAATCTGACTTTCGGGGGTGTCCGCTTTAGGGTCAGCACGGAAAAATATGGTGGGGAGAAACATAGGGACAGGAAAATGGCAAGAAGGAACAAAGAAGTGAGTTTTTCGGTTGGAGGGGCTTTGGGACCCAAGGATAAGTTGTTTTACGATGGAAAGGAATTAGACGAAAAATGACCGTTGCAGGGCTGAAATGGTTAACAGATGTTGAGAATAGGGTACAGAGGAAAATCTAATGACAGGAAAAGAGAAAGTTTGGAAAGTATCTAACAATTGCGTTGCTGACATTACTACGCGATTCAAATGACGTGATCAATCAAGAGATTCACGAATAAAATGCAATATTAATCTTAGAATATAAATTTCATTTACTACTCTCCTGATTAGATTCAAATTCGTAAGAAGTACAAATGTGTATTTCGACAATGAATTATAACATCCAAATAAATATGAGAAGTTAAACTGGGAACAGTATCGAGTTAAATAATAAGTAGTTAAATATGTTAATCTTGTTTAATATTTCTTTTCTACTAACACAAGAGATTAAATTTTTTTAGTCGTTTATTATTAAATATTGTTAATTATAAGGATTATTATTCTAAGCACGCGTTTCCTGAGATTTCGTTACACAGTAGTGACGTGAATATGTACAAGTCCAACTATTTCTTTCACTCAGGACGGTGTTTCCGTGTGTGGGTGGCCGTGTTCTACGTGGGCAGAGTGACCATTAACGTATCGATACACAGCCGGATTTGATAGGATCGTCAAATATATATGCCAGCCCGCGACGTTGATGGTATTTACGAGTTAAATTCCGGGGCAGGCCACAGTCACAGTGGGCAGGGACCCGCGGAAACGCGTGACCAGCCTGGATGGAACATTGTCTCTGTATCTCGGCGAAGTAACAACCGGAAGTTCGGGCAGGACGCGCGGAATTGCGTTGTAATGGCATCGAGTTTCGAGGTGGCTCTCGATTCCATTATGCGAAGGGAATTATCGATAAATTTCACCGGCCGGTAAAAAGGGAAAGCTTTTGTCACGCACAACAAACAAATTATATAACTCATTATAGTAACGATTCAGTGCATCATCTTACTAAAAGCTGTTTAGCCAATTAGTTAATTTACAAATGTGGAATACTACAATTAACAAAATACTCAGTGTTCATTAATATTCACTAATTTGGCATTTAAGTTATTTTAATTTCTGTGATTGTATAAAATGATTTGCTTAACTCAATTTCTATATTCAGACATACGTAGGTAATTATTACAGAAGACAATTAATTCTAATCAATAACTATTTTTACATCTATCTTCAATGATCCAATTTAATATTGACAACTAATGTTTCACTATGTAAAATGTAACAATTATATAACAATTTATATCGATATAGAATCCCAGAATCTGTTATCTGTTGTATTGAATATTCAAATTGAATCCATAATCTTCATAGTGATGCATGAAATATTCATTCAAAATATGTAAATTCTGTCTAAATTTGTGCACTTATCAAACACATCAGTTCTACGTACGTCCTATCGCTTTACTCAATCAGTTCAAACATATGTGTGA